AAAATTAAAAATATATAATTTTACATTTTTAGACTAAGAAATTGCATTTTTAGACTAAGAAATGGGACAACTTGAATAACAAGCTGGAGAAGATTATTTTAATCATCTTACTGTAGGGTTGCAATACAGAACAGCAAATAGTATAATAAGCTCTTTCAAGGATATGCACCATTCCTTCTCCTTACTTTGCAAAAGCATATGGCAAAATATTCTGTTTAAGGCTCCGCAAGTAAATGTGAACAGCACCAGCACCTCACAGCTGATGAAGGACACTGTTACAGCTTGCAGAAAGTGTGAACAAATTAAATTCTCACTACCAGTTTCAGCTCCTTTTGCCAAGTCTCATGTGCACTGTAAAAGGCTTCATTAAGAGTACACTCACCAAATAACAAATGAAGGAAAATGGCAAAAATTCTATGTTTTAAGGTAGATTAAATAGACCTGCAGAGGAAAGGAGAGAAACTACAATTCAGAACTGTTGCAAGGCCAGAACATAGATCAATGAAGACACATCAGAACCAGGCATTTAAGCCTAAAACATGAGAACGCTAGCACTGCATGACAACATAAAAAAATACTGCCAAAATTCAAAAAACATGTAGAAGGATAAAGTCTTGGAAGGAGCAGAAAGCCAGATATTTCCAAAACACCAACATAAGTGCAATTTTCAATCTCTGCATTTTTTTATTGGAAAGTACAAGAATATTGTGACAGAATGAGCATTTTAGATATCTGTACAACCTGCTTCCAATCTAAAAAGAAGCAATACTAGATACAGACCTAAAACATTTCACTGGTGTTAACTTACCTTCTGCTTACCCAAACAGCAAATGCTGCTTTGCTAAACAACCTTGTGTTCTTCTGCATTATTCTTAGATCATTTCCGCCCTTTACTCGTTTGTTTTTTGCTTCAGGAAGGCCTTTATTTGGTAGCACTGTCTCTTGCATCGGTCAGATACTGGCTAAATTTTTGCTAGCACTTTTCTCATGTATGTGACATTAATTATGCTGCCCAAGACTCAACATGCCCTTTGGGTTTAATTTCAAAACATTTGCAAGCAAATAATGGAGAAAGTGATAAAAAATTAACACCTAGCATTTCCAATGCAGTGAAGTCGGGAATACAGGTCAACACACAAATCTTAAGCAGAAGAATATTTAATGTGTACTTTCAACTTCACTGAATATTATCTTACCGGTTGAGTACCTGAGGCTAGATCCCAAATATCTGTTTTCACTGAGCATTTTGAATAACTATGCACTGTTGCAAAGTTCTGGAATAATTACAGTAAACCTGACCAAATCATTGAAAATATGCCTTCAAATAATGCCACACTGCCTAGGAAAACAAAAATAAACAAAGAACCCTTATTGACTGAAAAGAAAGTTTATGTCCTAACGTGCACATTTGATAGCTCCTTGATTCAGACAAGGGGAACAAAATTTTCTTCTCTTAGTTGCTGAATAACCATAACTAGAAAGTAAATACATTTATCAATTTGATGAATGAGCATATCCTGCAGCTATTCCATGTATATTAGATTGCTTATTGTTCAAGCTAATGGGTCCATCATTCTGAAAATAATCTACTGTCTCAAACATTTCCCCTATGGTTGGCTTGCACAAACATGTAATAGGGAACAGTCACGGAAGCCTAATATAATCTTCCTATTTTAAAATGTCATTGAAAAGCAGTGATTAGTCACTGCACAGGCAGCAGGAGTAAGAAAAGGTTCATGTCCTGTTCTGTAACTGATTTCTCCCTCTCCCCAACAACATGATTAGCGATTCACAGGCAATAACTAAATCTCTGTATACACATACATATTACATACATATATGATAGTACTGGCCTACTGCTAGACAAACTGAAGTCTAGACAGTGAATACAGAGACAATTCATGATAATCAATAAAATAACCATAAAGAGGCTATGGTAAAAATGGACCTATATATATGTGTATATGCATGTGTGTATATATATACATATACATGCATACATACATATATACATATATATCTATACATATATAATGTTCAGAATACTCCCCCAAGAACTTCAGGAGAACTCAGCAGTGAAACAGATTAATCTTTAACCTAAAGTTTAAAGGTGGCAATCTCTATAAATAAAAAGGACTCCGAAGGGCCCAGTCTCTGATGCTGCGTAGGTGGGAGGGATTACCTCCTCCAACCTGCTGGCAGCTACCTACCTCATGCAGCCTAAATCCCAACACTAATACTAAAATGGCTGCCATTACCGCAAGGATGCATTGGTGACTCATGGTCAACTTGTCCATCAAGAGGACCGCAGATCCTTCTCTGCAAAACAAGTCTCCAACTGGTCAGCCTGTGGCCTGTACCCTTGTATGGAGTCACTCCTCCCAAGGTGCAGAACTTGGCATCTCCCTTTGTTCGACGCCATGAGGTTCTTCTCTGCCCATTTCTCCAACCTGTCGAAGTCTTTCTGAACAGCAGCACAACCATCTGGTTTATCAGCCATTTTTCCCGATTTTGAGTTGGCTGTAAACTTTCTAGGGGAGCGTTAGGACCCATCATCCAGGTCATTAACGAAAATGTTAAACAATATTGGCCCCAGCATCAGCCCTTGAGATCCACCATCAGTGAGCAGCCTCCAACCGGACATTGTACCACAGATCACAACCCCCAGAGGAAATTCAGGCAGTTTTCAATCCACTTCTGACTACTGACCTAGCCCACACTTTATCAGCTTGTTTATGAGAATTTTATGGGAGACAGTGTCAAAAACCTTGCTAAGGTCAAGATAATCATGTCACCCACTGCACGTCTCCACATACACCCTGCCAGTCACCTCATCACAGAAGCCTCTCAGGTTGCTCAAGCATGATTTTCCCTTTGTAAATCCACGTCAGCTATACATTTCCTCCAAGATATCAGAGTACTTCAGTAACAGCTTTTAGATAGCAAACTTTATATAAGACAGAAAGGTTCGACATCAACTACTTTTTCTTGATGTTAAATGGGCAAGAAGGGAACCAGAGGAGACACCTGTAGCCTTGTGGATTTTAATATACATATATGATCTGAAGAGGGAGAGCAAAGAGGTGAGAAAGTTTAGTAGGGATACAAAATTATTCAGGGAAGTAAGAAAACAAGGGCAGACTGAAGAAGAGCCCAGGATCTAAAAGAACCACTATAATGACAGAAATCCTGTGTGATAAACTTAGGGAGAAACAGTTTTAGCTTTACATATGAAAAATAGCCTCTGAGCTGGCAGGCAGCGTTTGGGGACTTTGCTACGTAGCTAGGAAAAAATAACTTTAAAAAAGCAAGTAAACAAACACACCCCCGTTCTCTGCTTGGTAACGGTGAAAACAACATCACCACCACAAAAAAAACAAAAGTCAAATATTAGGAATCATTAGAAAAGTAAAAGAAAATAATTATCCCACTGGACAAATCCATGGCTTGCCTTCCTCTTATCATTAAAAGGAAACAGGAGAGATGAAAAAGGTTTGGAGGAAGACAACAGGAACGATCCAAGTCATGGGACAACTGCACAAGGAATAATTACATAGGGTGTGGACTTTTCCAACCTGGGAAACAGACCATGTAGGAAAGGTGCAACTGATTCTACAGGACCACAAATGACAGATCAGACAGGAATGGACATCTCTTCCAAACAGGAACTAGGAGTCCTTATGTGAAGTTGTTAAGAGCCAGCACCAAACAAAAGGACCAGAATTTTGTACACACATGGCAAAAAGAAATGTAGATTTATAGAATGCCTTGTAAAAATGCATTTTTTTCCTGTTTTACACAATGTTGACAGGAGGCTGGACAAGCTCTTGAAAAAGAGGTTACTACATACACAAACCTAGAAAATAAGATTACACAAAATTTTAGTATGTTTTGTAGAATTGCTCTTCTAAATATTACTTAATATTGCTCAAGCACAAAAAGGAAACAAATGTTCTGTCTGAAGTTTTGTAATACATTTAGAATTTATCAAGACCTTTTAATTAACTATTCAGTAATTTTTAAACAAAAATCCCCTTAAAGTAGTGTTAATGCAAGAAATACCAAAGAGATTTGTGAATCAGTTTTTAAAATGAAGTTCTTTGGACATTTCTGCTATAAATCCCTGAATATGATCATGCTTGCAAGCATAAAAATCACAATTATTGAAAGCATTGAGGAAGATGAATAGTTACCTCCTCAAAAATAATTTTACACACAGTAAGTTGTGTTACACAATTCTTACAGATTTGCATTTAAGAAACTTATCTTGAATCACCTTGCCATAAGGTGTTCCTGATGCCATAAGGTGTTCCTGATGTCTAATCAAAGCTGAAGTGTAGCATTTCCTTTAATACAGATATTTATGGTCCCTCTCTGCTATCTGGTTGCTTATTTCCACAGAACACGCAAAACCTTAACCCATGACCTCCGCTCTTCTGTGAGTTGTAGCTGAATTTGCCAAAGGGATTTACAAGCTGCTTCTGCCCTCTCTATTATCCTCCTGCGGCGGAGATGAGCGCGTGCCGGCAGGCACGCACAGACACCCTGACCAGGTAAGGGAGCTCCAACGGAGCCAAGTTAACCATGAAGGGGGGAGTGGATTAGAGCACAATTTAACTCTGTAAACCAACACAGAAGCCAACTTTTAGTACCTGTACACTTGTTTTTGTTGTTTTTTTTTTCATTTTTTTCTCTGCAGAATCACCACGTAATCATTCAGGTAACGCTTAGCTGCAACGTGCCCCGGTGACATTACGCTCCTAAAACTAATGTACTTTATTTCACTGATATGGAGACATAACACATCTCAAAGTCGAACGTTTTCCAAATGTTTCCAAGAAAACACATACAGCCCAACACTTTTAGCATCTGTATATTCAAAAACTCCATAGGCCTGCAATATACTATTCCCTTTAAAAACAGCATTAAGTATAGAGTGATCATTAAAAGCAGAAGGATATAGAAATTGGTTTGATACGCCAACCTCAAGTTGCTCTTACCTTGAACTAGATCTTGACTTGATGTCATCCTTTGCTGTCCTTTCACTACTACTGTCTTCGTTATTCTCCATTTGTTTCTCACATGGTTGCTTCCTCTTCTCCCACTTCTTCTGCTGATTTGAGATGATTTCTACTTCTCCTTGTGACTCATTTTCTACTCCTACCTGTGAACCTGAGGAATGTGCCAGGCACTTAGAGGAGATTGGCAGTTTCTGCTCTTCCCTGCCAAAGTCTCTGTCTGCTAGCAAAGCAGGAGAAGTTTCAGGTTTTAAAGTTTCCTGTGCAGGGACTGAATTGCCCGAGTTATCTACATGGTCAGTTTCTTTAGACTTTACTAAAGTATATGAGGCATTTACAACACTTCCTGCAGCATGCTTAGTCTTTAAACCTCTAACACTCTCCTCCCTGCTGTCTTCACAGCTGCCACAACACACACAGGAATTAATTAGACAGTTTGTGGCAGCTATACTGAGCTTATGGGATTCGTTCTCCTCCTCGTTTGCCAATGGATTAGCAGATCCAGCAACACAACCGATAGCTGCTTCTGGAGTTGTTACTGGGGATTCTGAGCTAGAGGGAGATTTAGGATTAAATATTACAGTAGCAGATATTTTCATTCCTCCTGTCCTGTGAGCTATCATTTCTGCCATTTCTGCATCATCAGCATAAGCATCCCAACCATTGAGGTATAACTGTGAATCAGGACCTTCTAAACAGCTGCACGAATTCTGAACTGAGATGCCAGACCTCTGTTTGCTGTCTTCAATATTGTTATTATTGCTGAAGTCACTTCCCACATCTTTCAGAAGCAAAGTTTCCTCTGCCTGATGACCGTTCTCATACAGTAGAGCGTCTCTATATTGCAGGTTCTCTTTTGAGCTGTGGCAAGGGTTATTCACCCAAGCAAAAGTATCATTTACTGAATCCAACCCAGCAAGAGCTTCTCCTGCTCCATCTAGGTCATCCATAAAAAACACTCTGTCCTCTTCATCAGTTAAATTGTCAAGATGGTGTCTTGTTGGCGAGGCCTCTGTGCTAGAACTGTTCCTTAGACTAGGTCTGTGAGCTGGAGACTGGCAGATGCTCGGAGGGGAAAGCAGAGAAGACATTTCATCCCCTACTCGGTGCACCATCCGATTCAGCTGCTCCAGCTCCTGCTCATCATACTGCATGGAACAAGCGAGCTCAGCCTCCGTGTTTTCAGCTTTTGCTGAAAGCTCCTTCCCAGGCAAAGTTGCAGTTAGGCCAGGTGTGATGACAGAGGGCACTTCTGGATCCGCTCTGACCGGAAAATCCACATCTTGAGAGATACAGAGATTACGTTCTAGCGTGTGCAGTTCATCCTCAGTTAATGTTTGAAGCAGATCCCTGAAAACACAGACATACACACAGGAATTTGCATTTGCAGTCACAGAAGATGCAGATGCTATCGATTTTCCAGAAGCTTTTACAGTTAGCAAAGAAATTCAGGACTTGGGAGCAGAGTATTTGCAGCTGTATAACTCAGGGTGCATTTTGAAATCAAATTCAATACACGTGTGATTGCTCATGTCTCAGTCCGAAACTATTTCGTAAATGCATCCTTGCAATGAAGTCAAACAATAACTCAAAATATATCCCAAAAATAAAACAGACCCCCTCCTCTCTTCTGCTTAGACAGTGCTACCTCTATTAAATAATTTTGTTGGGTAATTTTTTATTCCACATTTTTTTTTGATTTTCATAGAGATTTATCATCTTTGGCACTGGACCCTGAAAATTATTGCACAAAAGACTGCAGTAGAAATTTCCAAGCATTACATTATCAGATAAAATGCATTTATTAAAAACAATCAATATCACTTTTGCAGTGCTGATGTCCTAAAAGTCTCAGACTGCAACAGATTATAAATGTTAACATTTTGGAGGCATCCTAATCTGTTCAGTGTCTTCATGCAAACTACTGTAGATCTTGCCAATTACCATAAAGTTAAACTGTTTTTTCTTCTAAATTTTGATATTTTTACCTAAGCATTTAAGGGGTGAAAAACAAATAAAGGAAAAATAAGTGGACAGTTTTCCATTTTTTCCTCTCAGTGACTCTCTGTATTTTAGTCCTTTAAAAATGATATCCACAAATAAATATAACAGTTAAAATATTAAATAATATACTTAATAGCTTAAAGGTATTTCATTATCTTTTTTTTTAATTGGTTTGAAAAAGAATACAGAGAGCATCTCTTGGTTCTGCTGCAAATACTAACTAATCTTGGATACCCTACTTATCTATTTTTAAAAAGAGCAACTGCAAAATTAATATTAGCATCAGAGTTGCTTCAGCATCCACTGAAATGATATTACTTGTGTAAACAAAACAAACAAACAAAACCTTATGAAAACATGGAGTGAATAGCAGCAAAATCAAGCTATCACACCTTCTGAAGAAGGACTTTGGCTTGTCTCAAAGACCCTTTAATATTACAGTCATTTTTTTCCCCAGCACCATGACTAGGATTTCTGTTACTGCAAACATTGACTGGATTTTCCCATGTACTGACTACTCAGAAGGCAGCACCTAACTTGTATTTGTAAGTGAGCTAATGCCCAGTTGAGGTGTGCAGACATCTCTTACCTAGCCTAGCGCAAGGACCAGGCACCTACGAGAAGGACCAGGGTACCGGAGTTTCAGTCCCAGGAACCTGCCTTTCCCTGGCAATTCGCAGCTCTCAGCCAGAGAGCTGTATATTTCAGTTTATGTCATGAGTGAAAATATTTAGTAGGCTGAAAAGTTGCAATGCACTAAACTCTGTGGAGAAATTTACTGAGATGTGATCCTAAGATGTTCTTTTTTTCTTACAACAAGCTCATGACTAAAATACAGCATGTAAATATTTTAACAGATGACTCCCTGAGTCTATTTTCATGCTCTAGCTACTGGTGATGGAGACTAGAAAAACATTCCTGGAAAAAAAATGCTCCCTTTCTGCTGGAGAGGAGTTTAGATATCTAATTCCATCTTCCTTCATAGGTTTCTGTGAACATTTAGTGAGCAAGAATTGAAATCTTATCAGGTAAAACAAACACACCAAGCTGCTGTCACTTTAAAAAAAAAAAAAGAAAAAAAAAGAAAACTAGACAGCTTAGGTGTTTTTAAATTAGTTTTTATTGTACTACACAGATATATTATATTGTACACTTAGGATTTGCTGTGTATAATACTGTGCTTCAGACATTTTCTTTTTCTCCACTGTTTCATTTTGTATTTTTTTTTATTCTCATTTCATCATCTTTTTTGTTCAAGATTATTACTACAGTTTTTTTTTTTTAAATCACATTTCTTAATGCCTCTTAGGAAAAAATAAAAATGATATAAATCTTAGAGAACATCAGAACTACTTTTTTGAAAAGTGAACCTAAAAGATTCTTTTCATTTTAAAGGCTGCACTGGAATATGTTCTTATTGAACAAACATTTAACTAATGTCTTTTCAATCCAACCATTAAGTTCTGAGGAGCTGAAAATTAAATGGACTAAGCAATAAACTGACTTCATTGATTTTCCATATTATAAAATGCAAGGAGTAAGCAGAAAGTAAAGATTATGAGAAGTATATTAGGTTTTAAATATTTTTTGGCTTTATTAATCCAGTAGAATACAATGGCGACAATTTCTGCTAAGGCCACATATTGGAAATGAATTAGATATTTGTAATGTAAACTTCATACAAAGAGTTTTTAAGGTTCAGTACTTTTCCTTGTAAGTGATTTTTTTTCAGGATTTAACTATCTTAAGTTTTACCACTCAATGATGCTTTTATATTATTTTTTATAAAACCACATTCAGTCAAAATGTAGGGAACAAAGTGGCATTATTTAGGGCATTTTAATCATGAGATTTCATGACCAGTATCACTAACATACCCAAAAATAAAACTGCATTGCTTCTATACAGAATTAATGGAAAAATCATCAAAAGGCACAAATGGACATTCATAAAAGCGAACTTCAGAAATGGCTCCTCTCTTAACCACTCCCTGCTGCAGCCTACTTTCTGCTGCAGGAAATGCTTCACCTCTCTAATCTGGTTAAAGGAGAGTAATTTACGAAGAAATCCAGATTACTCCATAAATTACTGCCTTCCAGATAAAGTTAGTCTTTGTAAAAACATCACAGCATCATAATGGCAGACAGGAATTGAAATGACCAGGTGAAAATTGGAAATAAGACAAAAGAAAAACACCTTTTACCAAATTATCCCTGGAGATTTACAGGAATGAACTTACATGTAGTATAAGAAATTTAAATTCTAATAAAATGTTGGAGACAATGAATTTAAAAACTCAGAACGAAATACTTTAAAAATGCATCAAATATAAAGATGCTTTAAAGATATAGTTTGATTTCTCTAAAAAATAAATCAGTGCTTTAAAGACCTCAACCAAAAAAAGACTTCTTAGTGTTCTACTTAAGCCAAAATCTTACCTTTAATGGTTATATAACAGAGGCATATACAAAATGATTCAGCCTTTAAAAATAGAACTCTAATATGAAAAACTTACAGTAATTTCTATTAGATTAAGAATGATATGAATATTGCATCATGACATACTGAGAAAATGTAATAAGCTGGGTTAAACCAAAACATTCATGCTAATCAGAAACAGGACCTCCCAAAAATAAACTTCAACTTTAATATTTCAGGCATCATTCACCCATAAGGAAAAAATGATTTGTAATAAAATGATATTCAGAGACAGGGCTATATCACAAGGAGACAAGAAGTTCAGTACACGCCAGTGAAAGGAAAACCAACCAGGTGCATCAGATAGATGAAATACGTAACTTCTGGTTCACATAATAACCCAAAAACTACTTTCTAGATGTTTGTGTGTCCTGTTTAGGTGTCTGATTTTTGCTACAAAAAGATACAACTACATTAATCTTTTATTACTTGCCTTATTTTTCTTAGCAGTGTGTGAAAAGGCCTGAAGAGCTCAGACATATCTTCTGGCTTGTGGTCCAAGTTTAATGGTCCCTCGGAATAGACTACCAGGCCACTGGAGTTCAGAAACATGCATGAACACGCGTTAAGAATCAAAATTGCATTAGACAGAGCCACTACTGAATGAGTAGTGAGAAAAGTAACTGTATATAAACACTAAAACCACACTCAAATTGCAATTTACATCATTTTTGTATTGCTGTCTTATTTTATTTATCTGCAGTTTAAACTTCATGTTATTTAAACCAAAAAGGGAAAGGTCCCTTTTTCATCCCCTCTGCCCTCCCAAAGCATGGGAGAAGGAGCAATGGAAGCATCAAAGGAAGGACATGCATTTATTTCACTGTTGCAGCAGAAAAAATAAAATAAAACAAGAAAACGATTGTCCAGTAAGTGAGGGCATTCAGCTCACTGAGTTGACACAGACTGCAAAGGACTTATTCTTTCCAGTCAAAATCAGTTTTGGCTTAAAACTACTTAGATCTCTGCCTATTGCAAAAACAATCTAAACTGTTTTTGCAAAGCTAAATAGCAAAGCTACAGGGATCACGTGTGTTTTCATGCCCATGTGGTTTTAGCTAGGGCATTTTCCCCTTCCTGTCTTTACCTGGGGTCATTGATTGTTGACTGTATTTCAAATATAGGATACGTTTACTACACTCAAATTAAATTCTGCTTCAGAAAGCTTTCTAGGAAGTCTATATTTGAATCAGCCAGAATAACGAGGACACTCAGCTCACCAACAGGACTGTTGATGTGAACACTGCATTGATGTGTACCTTGCAAATATTTTTGTTGGCTAGGAAGCGTCCTGAATAATCACACGCAGCTCTTTGACACACAGCAGTGCTGCTGCTGCCACAAATAATATGAATCCCACTAAAGTATTATTAAAATGACCACTTACACTCTGTTTACCGTCTGGGCAATACTGCTCTTTTTCTTCTGTTTATAAACCCAGAGTCTGGCTCACGCCCTGGGACCAGGATAGTATTACAGTCTCCCATCAGGCTGAAGACAGCCATCAAAAAGCTCCATTGCCAAGATAACAGAGGGCCCCGAAAAATCTGACTGCTAAAGGTGATCAACATTGGTTTGGGATTAGGATTTGGGGGCGGAGGCACGGGAAGAGGGAGAAATGGAGGAAGAGGGAAGTTCCTTCTTTTGCACTTTTTTTTTTTTCTATAGGCAAATTATCCTGTTACTAAGGATACATACATACATACATATATATATATATATATATATAACCTATATAATACAATATAAATTAAATTTTATGAGCTTCAACAAGCAGGCTGCCATGAAGCAAAGTAGCTACTGCTGACTCATGTACTGATGTTCTGCCTAAACAAATGTTATTTCTTTACTTGGTGAAAGTTAGAAGCTACTTTCACTGAAATTTTAATTGGTGCAAAAATCAACATTCTTTTGGCAATTTTCAAGTAGGGTTTGCTTTCTCTAAAGCTTAGCTCTCTGAAGAAATTCCAAAATAGAAGAGGGCTACAAAAGCACTACAAAAAACTAACTTTGATATGACCGCTATGTATGATCTTGTCCTGAATCAAAGCATAGAGTTGCAACATGGAGGAACTTAAGAATTGCAAAAAGATGTGTCCTGATATTTCCTACTGGGTTAAAAGTTCACTGGCTTCTGTTACTATATTATGCAACATGGACTGTAAGTGAGAGCAAAATGATGTCAGCAAAGTGACTTAAACTCAAACTTTTGCGACGACAGGACTGAAGGAAGGCCATGGTTTGTGTTTGTTCCAGGTATATCCCTCTCCTAAAATACAGTACGGCAACAACATGGCCATTTCGAGTTGCATCTATCTTGCATATGAAGGCATCTCTTTTTGCAGTCCAAATAAGAGGCTTGCATTTCTTCAAGAAAGCACCACAGCAGGAGGATGTTGTTTTTCTGTGGAACTTTACGTGGCAGTGATTTATTTTCAAATTATTTGGTACTTGGAAGCAGCTAAACTGATTTCTCTCTTCCTTGTAATTTTGGATTGACACAGAATATTCCTCAGAGAGCCTCTGGCTTTCCAGTTAGTCATGATGTATTTTCCTTGATTGTGTCTACCAGAAGCTTCAAATTTAGTTCTTGCATTCCTGTTGTCTTTTAATAACCAGATTATTATTATGTTTACCATGACAGCTGCACACACTATACTATTTTATAGGAACAACAGGCTAGACGAATTTCCTGAGGAGAAGCAGGTAACACTCAGGATTTGAGGTTTCTTACTTCCTTCAATTATAGTTATATTTGCCAACTTTAAAACATTGTCAATGATAAAATATTAAAGTATGCTGGCTTTACTCCAGAGATACTTTTGTCTTATGAAATCATGACTCACTAGAAAAAATAAATGCTCCTCATCTGTTCAGTATGCAATATTGCAATGAACTGCATGAAGCAAAAAAAAAAAAAAACTGGCTTAACATTTAGTTGTCTGAGTGGTTGGTACTGGGCAAAAGAGTGAAACAAATCTGTGCATAGCTTAAATGCATTAATACTTTTCTAAAAAAAGATTTAAACCTAACTCACTGGTCAGTGTACTCAGTTTATCATGACAATTCTTTTTGACCTACAGTCATTAAGAAAAATGAACAATTACGATTGAAAAAATTTGTTTTTCAAGACTTAGGATATACCTTGGGATACATTATTTTTGAGAGAGGATATCTGCATTCAAAATTTATTTTTGATTACATGACATTCTATATACTGATGTTATTAATTCATTTTATTTTTTTTTCCTTAAGGATAACTCCTGATTTCTGTCTTGTATATTTAGAGTTCTACTTTCTCTTGCTTTGTTACTTTCTTCTCTTGATATAAGCCTCTAATGTTTAAAAAAAAATAGTCCTCATTTTTGTAAGAAGATAGAAGAAGATAGGAACAAACTCAAATGAAAGAAAATACGCCAAAATTATGAGCAAAGTTTTCTAAATCTTCAATAAAATTCTAAGTGTGCAGGGGGTAGAGTGGAGATTAGTTAGGGAAAAAAATACACTTAAAAATACTTACCACACAATGGCTAACCTTGGAATGGTGAACATTAAAGCTGGTTCATAGTCATCAATCATGTCTTGAGTGAGGTATCCAAGCCTTAAAGCTCTAAGTAGAATAAAATGACTTGGAGATAATCTGACTCTCAAATAGTATAATACAACAGGAAATTATGAAAAATTTGTGATAGAGGCAAACCAAATTGATAGCATTTAATTCATGAAATGTTTCTGTATAGTCCAAAATACTATATACATGTATAGATAAAATGTGTATATATGTGTGTGTATAAATACACACACATATATACAAACACACACGCTGTTGCAGTCTCCATATTAATCTTAGGCAGGGGAAAAAAATCTTTAAACACTTCAAAAATTTTATAGTCATCCAAAATCAAAATGATTCTTATCCCACTTTCCCACCTCACTGACTATTTCATGAGAAATTTCAGTTTGTTACTGAAAATCACTGATGCTTAAAGGTTTGCAGCTAAAAGTCAAAGAAATCTTTTTGACAAAAAGGGGTAAGTATTTAGTTTCATTTTTAATCTGAACTTGCTAAAGTCTTCTTGGTCAAAAAACCCTAAGTAATTAAAACAAACTACAAATGGTAATAGAGAATGACCTGAACAAAATCCTGGAATCTACGATTTGAGAAAAGTCATCACCATCCTCTTTAAAAACTTTTCAAATATATGAAGTCCCTTCTCCCACTAGACTACAAGCCAATTATTTTAGGTTTTCCCCTTGGTCACATTTATAAGCTTCTTTGTAATTCTCATCTTCTGATTTGCCCACATGATTTTGTAAGATGGCACCCAAAACTGCACCCTACTCGAGCTCGTACAGCCCTGAGTAGAATAGAATTAACAACTTGTTCTTATTTCTTGTCACTGCTTTTCTCGTCAATATTGCTGCCAACAGAGAGCAAAACAATTGCTACTTCCTTCGTGCTAGCAGTAAATTGATTAAGTCAATATGTGGCCCACTATGAGCCCCAAATGATTTTCTATATTTTGCTGGCTATCAGGTTATCCAAAGGTTCAAATGCAAAATCATGATTTTCATCTCAATGGCCAAGTGCGTGGCATGTATTTTTATTAGCTATCTTATTGATTGAAGGCAATTCCTCCTACCTGTTGGGATCATTTTGAATTTTAATGCTGTCTTTTAAAATGCCTGAAACATTTCTGATCTTGCTGTCATCTACAAACTGTACAAGTGTTCTGCACTGCCTCCTCCTTTAACAAGAGTCTCAGCAACATCATGGTCCCACTTAACAAGTTTTCCTAACATGATAGAAAAAACAACACTTATTTCAAGTGTGTTTTACAGTCAATTGATCTCTAATAATTTCATCCAGACTACACTTTACTAGTTCCATTTTGGGAATATGGTTGCACTGCTCCAAATCCCACTAAAACTGTGATGCATTTCACAGCTCTTCCTCTCTCCTGCCCATCTGCTGGGTTAGTTACTCTATCAGAGCAGAAAATAGGAGTTGCTCTACATGCTATTTCCAAGCAAATTTACATTTTTTTCTTATCAAAAGTACTCTTAAAAGTGCTTATAAATTGCTCTATTTCAACAAAAATATATATGTCTTTTCCTATGCACAAAGGTTTTGCTGTAAGATTTTAATAAGCCTCTAAATTCTTTATGATAATCCCTAGAGGTTCATAAATTACTTAAACCATTTCCACAGGTATTTTTGAATGAAATATCTTTAAATCCTGCTGACTTAAACTGATTTCGTTCATTTAAATACACAGCTATAATTACACATTTCAAAAATATTACAGAAATAGTACCTTTTTTTTTTTTTTTTTAAAGAAAAGCTTATGCCTAGCGATAGTGCTTAATGCCCTTTAATTCTGTATTTTCCTGCTTACTAGAAAAGCAAAATACCTGATCTTTTTTGGTGCCTTTTAAAGACTAAAGATAAGGTACTTCTACAACAGATTACTGAAAATAAAAACAGAAATGAGATTTATTACTTAGCTAAAATGCTTACCTCTCCACAGTTTCACAAAAAAGCACGATTACCTCTTGCTGTACGTAATATTCTTTTGGTGACTTCACGGGTACCATGGCCGACACATAACTACAAAGATTATAAACTAATTAACATATTTTACCTCCTTTGACAATCAGTTAAACAGCAAACCAAGGTCAAATTATATTAGCAACCTAACATTTCCTGAACCATTTTAAACTCATTTTGACAGCACTCATTAGGAGAATTGTACACTGAGAAATCTGTAAGAACTGCAGATTAAGTCAATGGAACAGTAGTGATTTTATGAATAGGATTACACTCATTTAGCAATCACATTTATGGCACATGTAGGTAGGTCCTGATATATAATGAGTGGTCTGCATTTCCAGGACAGAAAGATCATGTAAAATACATACAAAAAAGTGTATTAGTAAAGTTAAGTTCTGTCTCTACTGAGAAGCTGAAAAGACTTAGAAGTTGACCTCCTCAAAGTACTAATCACAGAATCGTTAGGATTGGAAAGGACCTCTAAAGATCATCTAGTCCAACCCCCTCTGCACACGCAGGGTCAATGCACAAGGGAAGAATGATTGGTAGAAATAAAAACACTAACTGGAGACAAGATGATCTAAAGTTTATTCCCAAGAAAACTTTCAAATACTGTTCTCAGATGAACTTTTCTACTGAAGAGCAGAATCGTCACACGTTTTGTTCTTTTTACATCACTTATTTGCTGCCTTTTCTCAGGAGGGTGGGAGGGGTGAGTGGTGAAAGTTAGGGGAAGAGATTTATGACTTCCTTTTGTGTCTATGAAAAGTTCCCTCTAATGCCAGATGCAAATGGAAGATTACAGTTTACTTGAAGAGAGCAAAAGCAGATTGCCAACAAGCTATTTAATTTTCTTTTCATTATTGGTACACTGGAAGAAAAAAAATGTAGCAATAAAACAAATTACTGAAGAATTCAAATGTCATGATAAAAAATTATATACTCTTCCTAAAAAAAAAAAAAAAAAAAGCAAAAAACATCCAACCTCCAAAAAAACCCAGGCTAAACAACAGCTGTATTAGCCATGTCTATACTAGATTTTTAGAGTCTGTTACCTTAATTCAAATTCAGCAAAAAGCACATCAAAATGTTTAAGTGCATCTTTCATTTTTTCAGTGTAGAGGTTCAAATCCCTTAAGGCTTGGTCACGAATGATGTTTCTGACTTCCTCTAGACTCCGGGTCAAATCCTTGGCCAATGGCCTCATAGCCATGCTCTCAATTTCACGATTCATAATAATTGAACCTGCAGCCAAACACTATGGAGGAAAAAAAAAAAAAAAAAGAACAGAGAGAAAACTTTGGCTTTTATTTTTTCAAGATTGGGAGCATTAATTCACATAACAAACAGTAGACTTTTTTTTTTTCAGTCCTGTAATCCTGGTTTGTAAGTCCCTTCAAGTAGGAAAGAGTAACTGCATTCACGTGCACTCATTACAGATGGCTGCAAAAACAACAGGTGTACTTTAAAAAGGGAGTGGAAATGGGTGCCAAGAAGACTGTGGGATAACAGGAGCTGAGGGACCGCTTCAAATACAAACATGCAAAAGATGCAAAGCTGAAATCAAACAGCACAAAGTGCTGCTGCATGGGAGATGTCCAGATCCGGCCAGCCTTAGAAATGCACCATGCTGAAAGGCATCTTCAGGCCAACAGATCTGAAGAATATTGGAGTAATATTAAGGATGCCACAATTATTTAAGTCTCAGGTATCAACGCTAATGGACAGTTGCCTTATCTATCAGACCCATTTCTAGTTATTTAGTCTTTCCCTGGTTAACATAATTAAACCTTACTCTCTATCAAATTCCCTGCTTCTACAAGTTACTGTGCAAGAATGACTCAGAGCAATTAGGTAAGAGGAGGAAAGCAAGCGGATTTCAGCATTTTGCCGAGAAGGTATTTTATTTTCAGGTATACATGAAACAAATGAATTAAATGCAATAAATTTTTACTACACATCAATATCAAGTTAATTCTCAAAGATGCGTTTGTATTATTCTATTATTATACGTATTCTTTTCAGAAAAATCTTATGATCTGCTTTTGTTCCAACAGTTAGCCTTATGCCACAAAAAATGGCCCTTAAGGTAAGCCACAGAAAAGAGACCGACCTCTGCTCCAAACCACAGCTGTCCTGCTAGGTTGTCGTGCCGTATTTCCTCTGGAAACTTCACACAGAAGTCCCGGTTGGCCCGTTCGTGTGGAATGCATTCATCCATGATTTGATTTATGATGTTCAAAACATTATCCTGAAGCAAAAAGTAGCATCTCATATATACAAATATACCATAGACCAAGGTGATTGTTCTCAAATCACAAATTCTTTTCTAAACAACTAAATAGATAACTTAGAAAACAGTGTTCATCTCTTAAGATCATTATACAGACACAAAACATATTGGAGAAGAGCAGACATTATCATGTGGAGGAAAGGGCAGCAAACTTCAGTTTTTCTAATTTTCCTGAACTCAGATTCACTTTTCATATTCACTCCACTTAACTTTGAAGATTTAAGTAAGGCCACTGATACATGGGGATACATAGTTTAACAAGGTTATTGCCCCCATTATCTATCCATAAGATACCATTAAAAAAAAATCTACAAGTAGATTAGATTTCTCGTATTTCTTCTCACCAGCCACAAGGAAATTCATTCTCCCTAGAAAGAATGCCCTACAGAGTGCCCTGGAGGCATCAGAAATTAAGTTACATTAGGCCTGCCGGGGCTGAATAGACTTAAATTCATTCTGGAGAGCCAAAGCGGGGAGTGTGACACCGGGTTTGCCAGCGTGCGAGGGCTGGCACGTGCGCCTGCCGCGTCGCCCCGCAGCGCCACCCCACAGGGCAAAGGGCAGCTCAGAGGCTGCTCTAATCTACGCTTGCACTAGGACAAAGATGAAAGACCGACAGCAGCTTCTCAAAGCACAGTAATAATCTGCATTCATTTATTTGAAAAGATAATTTTCAAGCACCCCTACTGGGTATTGCGTGGAATTTGATTAACATAATAAAGGTAGGTTTGGAGCATGAAAAAGGCTGAGTGCTTCCATGAAAGCTGTTTTGTTCCTGTCTCATTCTTTTTACACTATTTAGAGAACTCATGTTCCACTTAGAATATTTTTTCAAACAAACAGAAACAAATCTGTCACATATACAATAGTTTAGCAGACAGAATGGCTTTAAGTCCACAATTGCCTCTTTTATTTTTCTTTGTACTTAAAAATTAACAGAAAATAGGAAATACAGATTTGTCTTTTGCCTGCTCCCCACCGAGACAGACAAAATCTAGTCTAGGTTGAAAAAACAGTTTTATATCTTTCTGAAATTTCAGCGCCTACTGCAGTAACTAGTTGCCACAAAATAATCTCTACATAAATCCATCAGCCACAAGGGCCCCCCCTCAAGCCCCTGACTCTCCCTCTCTCCCCTGGGAAGGATTGGAGTACCTATTACACATTGGTATAAGGAATTTTCTCCATTGTTATAAATATTAAAACATCTTTTTACAGAAGCGTACTTTTTTTTTCTTTAATTTTAACAAGGACATAAAAAAAACATGTTTAAAACACCTGGGAACGAAATATTTAAATGCCTTTTCTAGAATGAAAAGCTGCATCCAGAAGAGTCACATTTTGTTTAGAGCTGCCTTCCCTAGCCCCAACCTGAGCATTAAATAACTGCTGGAACAATTGGACCACTTGGATCCCAAGGAACTCTAAGTGATGCTCAACTCTCTTCAGCGGGTTCATCATGAACTACTGCCTGAAGAACTGCAAGACTGAGAGCACTTCCCTCTACCAACATTCATCAGTGGATTAGGTACAAAATCATATATAGCTTTAGAGAGACAGAAAACACAGAGTTATCTCTCCTCTCTCCTCCTTGCATCCAGTTTTACATGTCACAGAACATTTATAAAACAACAACAAATCCTAATTTCTAATTGCTGGTCTTTAGTATGCTTCTCACATCACTACTGAGTCTAGACCTAGCTGAAGAACTAAAATAGCTTGAAAGTAGGTCCCAGGAGGAAACCAAATCCTAAGCCACTTAGACCTCATCCAAGTTACAGAGCAAAGAATGAAACTGAGGGCTGTAACATTTGAATTGTATTAAGTCATCAATCAAGAAAGATTTTAAATCTGCTCACTACTGATCTATTCTGAAATCAGATGCTTTGCCTGGAGCTCCCACATTATCACCGGAGCAATATGGATTGGCACATTACGCTGAAAAGGCCAGATTCTTGGTATCAGGGAATGAATGAGCTTGCAAAGATTTTTATCGTTGCAAGGATGCAGTGGTAAAAGTAATTCTACCAGTCAATTTTTACAAAAGCTGCAGGCAATACAGCAAGGTATTAAAGCAGGGAACTTGGAAAAGAACTACAGCAATTTGACTTTGATTATATCAGAGTTTAAATAATCCAATTCCTTTCTGGTTGGAATTGGAAGTCAAGTTTGTAGTAACTTGTCTTGTAGCAACTACTTGAGTAGTTACTTCCTAGCAAAATTGAGTAGGGGAAAATGCAATATCCATTTGTTTAAGAATGATAACAGCACATAAGACAAGACTTGTACTGAAAAGTACTTCCCTAAACCAGATTTTTACTTAATCTGATATTTTTCCAATATAATCATATTCTATAGCAATTTTAAGACAAATTGTGTTCTCAGTTTATAATCATGCACTTTTTCAAAATTTGTGATATGTCCATGCAAGTTTCATGCAGACTTAGAGTGAAGCGGTAGGACCTAAGCAGTTGCTCTGTGCTTCTGCTCTGTTTTTATCATCATTACACCTGTAACAAAAACAGCTCATACTTTGTCTAAATAATTTCAGGAGCTAATTAAGCACAGTAAATTTTGGACATTAATGAATATATCTCAAATAAAATATTATAGCTTCATAAAATATGTTTTTAGTCAAATTTTCAAAATCTGTCAAACAATGAATAATATACTTAAAAATTTACACTATGTAGATGGTATTCAATTTTTCTTCCATTTTCTCCAGGTATTCCAATAACCTCAACATGTTTCTGCTATAAAACACCAAAGATGTACGGACACATCTCCATCTGTCTCACAGGGTGAAAGTATTCTATGAGGTGGATTATTTTGCTATTTTAAGTTTTGGAAGTTCCCAAATTCTCTAATTCTGTACACGGTAGATTTTAATCCTTCGGTAGATTAAAAAAAAAAAAAAACCCTCCATCATATTCCTGCCTTCTTCCAAGTTCTTCTGTCACCCAAAGCAGAATAACCTAAACAGGAAATCTGGAGTCTTGCTCCAGTGATGATTTCAAGTCCCAGCTACTTTGGAGCTGGAAGAATGCCAACCAATCTAGACAGGCTATCCAATGTATTGCAAGCAAATTAGTCTTTTCTTTCAAGGAGGTTCAAGCAACATTCAATTTGGTTAACTACAGTATTCTGCTTTGTAAGCTAAGAATGATTGAGTTCAGATACATGGTAGCATTGAGTCTTTGCTCTAATTTAAGCAACAGAAATCAATTAGTTGGAATTGAAGCAGTAAATCTTTCATTTGATCCATCTTTCCCCATAAAAGCCTCCGGATCTTAATGCATCTTTTGGTGGTTTTATCTGTTATTTTTTGCTTCATTTCTGTCCTAGGGTGAGAGCAGTTCTGTTTCAGCAGATCTGGGAGCTTTCTCCCACCAGGATGGATAGAGGTTGTTCAGGTTCTGGCTTGGGATGCACTCCAAGTTGCTCATTTCCAGGAGAACAGAACTCAGTGTTTCGCATAACACAGACCATTTGTTTCTATTGTATGTTGACAGAAAACAAAGTGAGCAACAGTGAGACAGTGAATAGCGTGAACCGCAGTAGAGGGCCACAGTAGAGTCAACCAAGGGTTGTTTGGCTGTGTACTCAATAATCACAACATAAAGGCAACAGCAACTGCAGCATTTGCCTTTTAAATAGTTATAAAAAGGAAAGTCAGTGACTTCATCCTATTTATACTCTACAAAATATGTTTACATCAACAAAAGGCAGACTTAGATGCCCTTCCACATATATCCTTCACAGAATCTCTGCCCATGTTACCAGTAAATGCCCTTCTTTAATAACCTTATTGAGGTGTATTAAATCCTTTGCAAGATTATTATCTACTTAATAGAGGAAATATTTTAATATAAATTATTCTGAATTATAAGTAAAATCTAGCTATAACAACCTGGTCTCTATCACCATGAATTCACAGAAGGTATTTTAGTTTTTTGCTGAAACATCTCTCTCAGATTTGTGCCTCTATTTCTCTATCTGGCTTGATGCTAAAGTGCAAATTCCCTTCAGCAGCTCCCTAAACACAGACTAACCAGTAACCATAAGGGAAAGCTCCCATCCTGGTTAAAGCAGCAGTGCTCTCGGGTGCTCTTTTTGCCCAACCAGCTTTTTGCCTGTTTCTCGCTGCTAGCTTCTAGATGTTCTGCTTTCTGAATGGGTAACTCAGATTTTTATGCAGTCTGACTGCTTTGGACAGTAGCTCACAGTTTAACCCGGCTCACCGTACAGTGCGCCCAACATTGCTCGGGAGTGCAAGGCAGCTGGAGTCTCCGGCAGCATCAAACCCTCGCCGCAGGAACACGGAGAGCTGCCGTTCGTGTTGAGCTGCACCATCAAAGACTCTCTTCTCGAGCACGGAGACCTAATCAAGGAATTC